AATGCCTCGCAGAAAACTCTAAGGGGCAAGAGTACTCCACAATCTCTTCCAAAAGTGTGCTCCGTTCTTTAGTTCTCTTCGATGTTGAGGTAATTTTAACATTTTTTTCGTTCCTCCTCCAGCCACTCTAGCTTCCTGCTGGCTCATCTTCAGCCTCATTTTGTCCATCAATTTAGGCTCACTCGAAGGGTTAAAGGCTATCGCATTCGTGGAATGTTGAATCTCAACTCTACCGCTTCCTACTGCCTTTAGTAGGGTGAATATTCGTGGAAATGTATGCTGGTAGACGAAGGCAGATTCGCTTGTTCTCCACTCGTTTGATTTTGACTACATCTTTCAGATTGCCCAGCTCGACAAGGCGGATCAAGACGAAACCGAACCAGACTGCGTCAATCTGAATTTGTAGCAAACTCAACCGACTGCGGAACAGACGAAATGAGCCGTCGTCCTCTGGTGAGATTGACCTACAAATCTTTTCCTCAAAGTCAACAAAGCAATTTATTGAAACCCAGTGAGTGCAGCTGTTCATTTTATCTGAACACCCACACGTTCATTGGTAATTGTCGCGATATAGCGGCTGAGTCGATCAGAGAGAAGACTACTTAACAACTTGTTTCCATGTCTACTTGGTCGCTGCATTAGTCCTTGTAGGCTGGTGGCATCTTCACGATTCTGCCAGCTTATCCTCCTAGCGCCTAGACAAGTCTACATCTTTACGTAATTGAATTCAGACTTGAATTTAAAAACATCAGAATGCATGCTGCACAACTATTGAGATGTATATCTAAGTTGGATATACGTTTGTCGTTTTAGATATTCACGAAACTATGGAAACAGGGAAAGGGTTTGTTAAAATGGAATGCTAGCTTGAGCACACTCTTCGATAGAGACTGTAACGTTTCAAACTAGGTTCCAATCTGGCGTCAAGGGACTGACTCGATCGGATTCAACCATTCGATATTTCATTACTCGTTCACTTTTACGTTGACTACTCTGAGAGTCAACAAGAAAGTAAAGACGAATAGCCTCCAAGGGTTTCATGACTGGTTCCATTTATTTATATACCTTCTATTTGTCGTCACTAGCAATGGATCTCTGCCTTTGGTTGTTCTAGCCAGACGCCTTTTATGCGCTCCGATGTTCATGTAAACACGTACAAAGCGACAAGCGAGCCATTTTACGTATTCAAGCTCTCGGTATGTGCAAATGCACGTTTATATTCTACAACTTCGGTTTGAATATATGCCGAAAATGCTCAATTCGGGTTTGTCAAAGATCGCGCATAATTATATTTTAGCCTAGATTTTCGTCACCATCCGGTAGATCCTCTAAGGTTCATCTCAACAAGTCTGGTTATTTTCCTTCTTTCTTAGACATTTCATATTGCTCCTCTTTACTCACTCAGTTGTCTGCCTCTTATCTCTTCAACATTTTCTAATTTACACTCCGAACCATCATCTTTGCGACCAACCCTATGCCTGTTCAGATACTTTACCTACTTTGTGGCCTCGGATGTCTGGGACTACAACTTTCCGATTCTCTTCGATGCGCCATGCTCACGGTAAGCACTCTACTTGGGAAAGTTATTCTGCATCTGGATCGCACGATGTCAAGTTTTTGCCCATTACTTTTCAAAATGAAAGTGTACTTATCCTATTTCGTCTAAACTGATGAACGACTTCGTACCTTTAAATGAACTATGAGGAATGCATCTTTTATATATGATCTACTGCTACGCAATTATCACTTGTCCATTTGTTGTTACAATCAAGCCACGTCTTGACTTTCCTTTCGTTTGTTAATAGGTTTTCTGGAGTACCAGTAAATCAGAGATGTGTTCACCCTATTTCGTTTAAGTTGAAGCTAAATTTTCCAATAATCCTGTGAGAAGACCATGCGTATTCATTGAATTTCACGGATCCTAGCTTCCAAAAAGGTATTCTCAATCAGGCCGAAGTCAACTGCAGTTTTAAAGTCTTAAAAACCTACTTAAAAATGACAATTAAGTAGTGTATAAGTAGTGTGCTATAACAAATATTGTGATATGGGAAAATGCCTGGCCTTCCTTGAAATTCACTTTTGCCCTGTGATCCAAGGAGTCTCGGGGCAATGTGGTGTAGTGGTTAACATGTCGAGATAATACGCTGCACTGCCAAAAAACGAGTTCGAGTTGCGCTGGTTGTGCTGATGAGACCGGTTGAGGTGAGGTCAAACGTTTTGGGAAGCAAGGCTATGTGAAGTTCAATGGAAACGTAAGGTCTATTCAACTGATTGTGGGAAAATTCAACTACCAGTCCTTCTTCATCTTAGACGAACTAGGGTGAATACATCTAACATATTTTTATTTCTTTGTATCACTTTTCATTTACATAATTTTGTGATCAGGGCTAAGCAGGCTGATCTGATCGCGAGTGATTCATATGACCTCAAGTACAAGACAGTTTCTTTTTCCAGTCAACCAGACAGCATGGATGATGCAAATCCCGGAGCTAGAATGTTTGCTGAGGACGTTTAGCTTCGCAGGTCCAGAAAAATAGGTTGATCATGATAGGGTGTGGAACTTTATACCATACATCTCGCCATCTCGTGTCATAAAGATTCAACTTTTGCTCATGCCTTGTAATTCATTCTCTTCGTTCACACAACCGGTTTCCTGCATTCAAGTCGGCTGACCCGCCGATGCTCTGGCTCTGGCGCTACTTGGCGGCCGACCTCTGCCCCACAGACCTCGCGCTCTTCGACTTGGATCAAGATGTGGCCAGAAGTCGACAGCTACTGTCCCGATATGCAGCCTACACACACTATCGGTCTCGAGGTTGGTTCGTCCGTCCGGGGCTTAGATTCGGCGGCGCCCATTTTCTTCTCTACTCAGAATCGCCGACTCGTCGACATGCCGCCTTCTGCGTTCTCGTCGATTGCGTGGCAGATGACCCCGTTATGTGTCCGGGTAACTATCAGAGCGTTGGTTTCAAGCATACTTGACCCAAAATGTATGTTATTTTTTGATTTTCTTTCACCAATCTCAGCACCCTCTTAATCTGTATATTTGTTTCGACACCATTTGTCGGTTGTGTCGCTTCGGTGTTGTTGTTAACTTTGACTAAGCTTTACATTCTATTCCCTGCAACATGTTGATCACAGAAATCGAGCAAGCTGAAGCAGCTTTTGACAGGTCCAACTCGTCGGGCAGCGAAAACCAACCTCCGCCGACTCTCGACGCGCCGGATTCCTCAAGACCTGACGAGAAGCGGCTTGGTTTAGAAATGATTCGGGTCTGCACCATGCTCAGAGTAGCTGGCAGTGTTGGCAAGGTAAGATCGAGGCCAATGTTTACATGCTAAATAGACCCTTTGTTGCGATTTTCTGTCTCTACACCAAAAGCATTATTGACGAAAAAGCAGGCATGTGATATTTGACCATATTGTGAAAAGTGGCTGGCTGTAAGTGTAAGGTGATAACAGAAAGTGTATAACATTTTCACGAGTTATTAAGACACAAATTATGAGACTTGAAGGCTTAGCAACCAAGTTTGTTGCAGAAATATTGATGAAGGCTTAGTCCATACCAAAAACATGTTAATTAATTTGTGAATAAGAAACCGAATCATCTTAGACCGATTAAGTTAATGGAAAGATTGACAAATTAGTTTTCCCACGATCTATACAATTTAATTTCACTGAGCTCTGTTTCTCAACACCTTATCTCATCTAGGCCAGACTACAGGTTCGAGCTCGCCTGGGTCTCAGCAGCAACCCAGCGGGACTCGATTCCGAGTAGTGGGTATCGTGGCTTATTGTGGGAAAAATTAGGCCATCCGTCCTTAAATCACCCTTACCGACTCGGGCTGACTAGGTTCGTATCCAAAGCGTATTGAGTGTCTCGAAGCCTACTTTTACTGAAAATAGGCAAGTAACTCCATCATTACTGTGACTACGAAATTACGAAAACCTTATGATCAGTCATGCATACAAACTCGTTTTCGTGGAGCAAGCTTCCGAATTCAATTAACTTTGGAGTTGCAATATGGTATGTTGCATAGCATTATTTTGGTGTAATACCCACAACTCAGAATACATGTTTTAATCATGTTTTACTGCACCACCAGCAGGACAGCAGCGCATTACTTGCATTGATGTAAGGTTTTGACGTTGGGAATGGTTCGAAATCCTTGCTTCTTCGCGACCTATGCTTACGCATTTCATATACGAAAAGAGACTGTGTTTCGATGAATCTCCTGTTGCTAGGACTTGCATTTCGTATGAAAGAGCATGAAGATTGACTGATAAGAAGGCGACCCTAGCTCAGCAATTAAGAAACATATCCAGCAGAACAGGTACCTGCAGGCAATGAAACAGAAATCGGCATCACAATAGCCATCAGCAGCTCAAGTTTGCTGTTGTTGGCTGTACGTAGAATGGCCAGACGCTTAATTTACTTTGCATAGAATTCAACTACGTGAAATTATTTGTCTTTTGTTGTATACCCTATCAAATCCTGTTTTAATGCATGCCAAAGCTACAGAATACGAAGAGAAACTGGGCTTCGATGAGATAAAATTATTGTTGGGACTTTCAGTTCGTATGAAAGTGTATGAAGAAGAGATTCGAAGGTCGATCTCATCAGAAGAGTTTTACTGCAGCCGTTTGGCTTTAATTCGACGTTCAGGTTGACGCATTCCACGAGACCTTCTCCCTTCTTTCGGGCGCAAACGGAATGAGCTTTCGTCCATCATCGGACGTGGGTCTAGGCCAAGAAGACTATCCGGCTCCATCTTACTTCTTATATAGACACAATTGAGCCAAAAGAAAATTAAAAACCTAAATAGATAAATATATCGGGGTTTGGCTAATTATCTTTCATACTGGTTCTGCTACTTTTGGTCGAGTGTGTGCGTGTGTGTGTGTGTTAGTGTCTATAGGCAATACCGGCCCTAAATCTGATCATCAAGGCCTAATGACCCAAGAGAAAGCCCTGACCGAGACTGTGTAAATCCGTAAGCAAGTATGGTTGAGATGATGAGATGTAAGCTTGTAGACCAAGTTACGAAACCACTTGTCCTAACCTCTCAGTCTAGGCTCATTGACGTTTAACCCCCCAAGGAAAGGCATGACTAGAGCCACGTAATCTGGCACGTCCGATTTAGTTGGTGAGCTTAATATAACATGTTGCCGAGTGTGAGTGAAGTTAGAAGCGTCACTGATCGGACGAGTTTGGTCGCTCATCACCTTCTCTCTCCTTCAATCAATCTTCATGCTCTTTCATACGAAATGAAAGTTCTCGCAACAATGTTGTCTCAGGATCTTTATTGAAACCCAATTTCTTGTCATTTGTCTTCTCGCTGCACTATAACCAGGAAAACTACATCCCGGCAAGTTAATGGGATTCGATTTGTTAAAATGTGTATTTCTCATAATATTGTTCCTATCTCTTGTTTACTCGGTAGACGTTTTAATCTACCGACGTCCACTAATAGGGAACTTGATCAGGTGTCGTGTGGTTTTGTTAAAACTAAGCTCAAGGAAAGCATTAACAAACTACACGAACTAATTAGAACCAAAACTAGCAATATTGAAGGATGTTGACTTCACTAAGTTACAAAATATGGCCGACGGGTTAGGAGAGGCGACTGACAGAACTACTCATCGGATACATGATAAAAAAGCTCCGGAATTAAGGAATTATAATTAGATTGAAGAACTTTGCACCTAAG